CAGCCATCTCAACCTCTGCCGTCCCCTTCTCCTCCTGCCCCCAGTCCCTCCCAGCATCAGGGTCTTTTCCAGTGAGTCAACTCTTCGCATCAGGTGGCCAAAGTATTGGAGTTTCAGCTTCAGCATCAGTCCTTGCAATGAACACGCAGGACTGACCTCCTTTAGGATGGACTGGTTGGATCTCCTTGCAGTCCAAGGGACTCTCAAGAGTCTTCTCCAACACCACAGTTCAGAAGCATCAATTCTTCTGCTCTCAGCTTTCTTTATACTCCAACTCTCACATCCATACATGACCACTGGAAAAACCCATAGCCTTGACTAGGCGGGCTTTTGTTGGCAAAGTAATGTCTCTGCTTTTTAATATGCTGTCTAGGTTGGTCATAACTTTCCTTCCAAGGAGTAAGCATCTTTTAATTTCATGGCTGCAGTCACCATCTGCAGTGATTTTGGAGCCCCCCCCCAAAAAGTCTGACAGTTTCCACTGTTTCCCCGTCTATTTCCCATGAAGTGATGGGATCAGATGCCGTGATCTTAGTTTTCTGAATTTTGAGCTTTAAGCCAACTTTTTCACTCTCCTCTTTCACTTTCATCAAGAGACTTTTTAATTACTCTTCACTTTCTGCCATAAGGGTGGTGTCATCTGCATATCTGAGGCTATTGATATTTCTCCTGGCAGTCTTGATTCCAGCTTGTGCTTCTTCCAGCCCAGCATTTCTCATGATGTACTCTGCATATAAGTTAAACAAGCAAGGTGTCAGTATACAGGCTTGACGTACTTTTCCTATTTGGAACAAGTCTGTTGTTCCATGTCCATTTCTAACTGTTGTTTCCTCACCTGCATATAGGTTTCTCAAGAGCTGGGTCAGGTGATCTGGTATTCCCATCTCTTTCAGAATTTTCCACAGTTTGTTATGGTCCACATAGTCAAAGGCATTGGCATAGTCAATAAAGAGGAAATAGATGTTTTTCTGGAACTCTCTTGCTTTTTCGATGATTCAGCGGATGTTGTCAATTTGATCTCTGGTTCCTCTGCCTTTTCTAAAACCAGCTTGAACATTTGGAAGTTCACAGTTCATGTATTGCTGAAGCCTAGCTTGGAGAATTTTGAGCATTACTTTACTAGCGTGTGAGATGAGTGCAATTATGCAGTAGTTTGAACAGTAGTTAGTACCTAGTAGGTACTAAGTAGTAGTTGTTAGTAGGTAGTTTGTGTGGTAGTTAACTTTGATATTTCCCCCTAATTTTTACTTACCTGGAAACTTACCATGTTTTAATGTAGTTCTGATTGGTGGGGTTGGGGTGGGGGGAACTCAGCTATCACCTTTGTAGACTTGAATTTTTCCTTTCTATATATGATAAAGATCTTTATTTCTAGATTGTCTAGATTTTGGCTGCTAGAAGTGTGGGGCATGGATAAGTAAGCATAACCATCACCAATTGGTTATAAATGCAGAATCCAATTGGAAGAGTGAAAAAGCTGACTTAAAACTCAACCTTTAAAAAAAGAAGATCATGGCATCTGGTCCCATCACTTCATGGCAGATAGTGGCGGAAACAGTGTCAGACTTTATTTTCTTGGGCTCCAGAATCACTGCAGATGGTGACTGTAGCCATGAAATTAAAAAGACACTTGCTCCTTGGAAGAAAAACTATGACAAGTCTAGACACTATATTAAAAAGCAGAGACATTACTTTGCCGACAAAGGTCCATCTAGTCAAAGCTATGATTTTTCCAGTAGTCATGTATGGATGTAAGAGTTGGACCATGAAGAAAGTTGAGTGCCAAACAACTGATGCTTTGGAACTGTGGTGTTGGAGAACTCTTGAGAGTCCCTTGGACTGCAAGGAGATCTAGCCAGTCCATCCTAAAGGAAATCAGTTCTGAATATTCATTGGAAGGACTGATGCTGAAGCTGAAACTTGAATACTTTGGCCACGTGATGTGAAGAATTGACTTATTGGAAAAAACCCTGATACTGGAAAAGGTTGAAGGCAAGAGGAGAAGGGGCTAACGGAGGAGGAAATGGTTGGATGGCATCACCAACTCTATGGACATGAGATTGAGCAAGCTCCGAGAGTTGGCAATGGACAAGGAAGCCTGGTGTGCTGCAGTCCATCGGGTTGCAAAGAGTTGGACCCAGCTGAGCGACTGAAATGAACTGAACTAGTCAGTGGATATGAACATTGAGGTTTGCAAAGCACTGTTATAGGTATTACCCAGCTAGTTGACACAGTTAACATGCTGACTGAGAAATACCTATGTTCATTTTCTGGAACTGATCTTATTTAATTGTTTGTAAATTGTAACTTTTCATCCTAGTTCCCTAAAAGTTATTTTCTGGATGGGTATCACTTCCACTATGAGGGAGCAATGATAAGAATAGTCTCAAACAGTAGCCAGTCCCAGTTTTTAAAGTAAGGTCTGGCGTACATTCCTGGAGAAGGAAATGACAACCCACTCCAGTATTCTTGCCTGCAGAATTCCATGGACAGAGGAGCCTGGCAGGCTGTAGTCCATGAGGCTGCAGAGTCTAACACAACTGAGTGGCTATCACTTGGCATACATAGATCTAAAACTGACAAACATTTAAAGTCCAGTTCCATTGTTCCATCCTCCATTATCACTCTGCATCTACGGATGAAGATTCCTTTCTTGTAGGCTGTGGCTTTTCAAAAATTCTGTGCACTAAGATGAACCTTTGAGGTGTAAAAAAAGAATATTCAAATTTCTATTTAATTTTTATCTTATATGAATGAAATTATGACTTACTGAAATTTGAAATGACTTACATCAAATTTCACTATTTACACTATTAACACTATGGTTAATAGTGTATGTTTATGAGTAAGCAGATACTGAGGGCCCATATTCAAATCTTGTTTGTATGTGATGACATAGGTTTATAGATCCTCTGTGGTATAATATGACAATCTCAGATTTTATTAGTGGACTAAGATATAATCTTGTGTAACTTCTGTACTGTTCCCTGCTATATGTGGGTACACTTGGATAATAGATAGTACTTACTGTTATTTGTTTATGGTTGATAGAAAAATAAGTGTTGTGTTTTCTGAACAGATATTAATAGGGGCTTAGGGTCTTTGCTTAACTGCAGTATATGTGATGTATAAAGTTAATGTGTATACAGTCATTTGGTGATACCCTGAAACTTAGATTTATTTATATCCTTGTACTTTAGAGTTTTAAAATTTTTAAATGTTTTTATTTTTATAGTCATGAAGGGGAAAAGTTATGTTTATTATACTTCAAGAATGAAGACTGAGAATATAAAAAATTAATCTTTTAGTATCCTTTAACATTGGAATGAAGTGTGAACAGCATGGATGACCTACAAGTGCATTTCTTTTGGCATTTTTCAAGAGTAATAGTTATTTAATGATGATAAGCAATATTTCAGTGAGTTTTTTGTAAGCTTCATTGTCTTATTTGACTCTATACCTAAGAATGACAGTGGGAGGGAGTGGCAGAGGAAGACACTGAGATAAATGTGAGGTAGTAGGATGTCACTTAGCACTTCAAGAGTGTTTAATTTTAAGCAACAGAAGTAAACTCCAAGGAGTGGCCTTAGCCAGGAGCCGTTTTGTTTTGTATGTAGCTCCTGCTGCATGTGCCTTTGACAGATAGGACTCTGGTTGTGGTTTCCAGAGGACACCTTTGTAGTCATAACCAAGTTGTAAATGTCACCAGTATTCTTTGTGAATGTCTGTCACATGTGTATCAGTGATTCTAAAGTAGATAAAAATGAAACAAAGATTCATTTGGGAGTTAGCACTCCCAGCAGATTAGTTTTAAACAGAATAGCAGAAGGAATTGTGACATGCATCCATAAGCAATTGTAATGATTTGACAGTTATTCAGCCCTCAATTCCTAGCTCTTTGGTTGAACTGACAGCATCCCTGCAAAGATAGTGAGTCCTGTTTCAGCCCCATTAATGTCTTCTTGAATGTTAGCCTGCAGTCTGGGTAATGATAAATGTTCAGTGATTGATGATTTTATAGTCCCAGGGGATTCTGGGTGGCTTCTGTGAGCCAAGGCAGTGAGTTTTTGTTTTTGTTTGGGCCTCTTGTAAGATTTTCTGATCTTTACTAAAATCACTTTAAGTTGGCAAAAGGGTAGGATAGGTACCCCTACACTTTAAGTAGGGTTCAAAACCTCTATAGAAAGTATGATTTTGGAGGTGATGCTGTACTTAGTATGTATAAGAGTCTGAGAACCAGAACAGTTATTTAATCCACTGAGCTTTTGTAACACTTACTTTATTTGTAAACTTTGGTATCTTTTAGGCTCCTTTGCTTTTAAAAAGCATGTTTTATGTTATGAGGATAAATTTAGTAACAGCCATTGTGAAATAATAGCACTAGCTTTATTGTTTTCATGGTGTTTGCAGTTTCATTTTTTAGATTAAGAATTTAAATTAACTATCTTTGTGTTTCCTATTTTACATGGCTCAGTTTGTATAAGAGTATACATGGCTCAGTAATTATTATACTAGTATTAAAAGGAATGTAAGCAGGTCTTCTTTTACTAAATATTTCTCTGCCGTTTAGGAAAGGATTCATTTCTAGAATATTGATTTTCGATTACTTTTAACATCTTAAGTAAATCTTATAATTGCCCAACCCTTTATTGATAGGGTATGGAGGCAGAGAAAGGAGGATAAATGTTTTTAAGTTTATTATAACTCATAAGTATACGTTCTTAGTTCATCCATTTAGAATTTTACTTTTTGGGATATAAAGAGATCATAGGGCTAATTTTCTTTAAAATGTATAAAGAAACTTTTTGACTTTAAAATCTTAAAAAGAATAAAAACAGCACTTCTGTTTAGTTTTTCAAGTAATGAACCAGAAACTCGGTTAGGAATGACCATTTGTAAGTCTGTATATTAATTAGATGAGTGTCATTATGCTCAATTAGCAGGACTGCCAAATAATCTTTTTAATACTCCGGTCTTTTTTTTTTTTTTTTCCCCTCTAGGGTTTTACAGACAGCCCTCATTACAGTGATCACTTGAATGACAGTCGTTTAGGGGCCCACGAAGGCTTGTCCCCAACACCTTTCATGAACTCAAATCTAATGGGTAAGTTGGTAATTCTCTGCAAGCAGTCTTCATAAAGCCTCTTGGATCAGAGACATTTTTTTATCTCCTTGTCCAGGAAGGACACATAAGTATCTAAAAGAAACTTCCTAAGTTTCTAGGAGCATCTGGGCTTTCTTTGTTCAGTCAAGTTTGGGGGGCAAGCGTTCAGAAATGTGGGTCCTTCTCTTAGAGCTTTATTGTCATTGATATCAATAAAGGAAGCAGCAGCGTTTTAATAGTGTTGGCAGTGTCTGTGACACCAAGCTTTATATGTTTTCTACCTTCTGGGCAGAGAAGCATTTCAAAGACATTTGTTTTTAATTTACTATTTGTCTTAACAGTTATATGTATGTGGTAAATAAAAATATGACAGAGCAGTGATTTTAGGCAAATTTTATTCATGTTGGACAGTATTTCTTTAGACAGTTTGATAAAAATAGTACATTTAAATATTGCAGCATTTGTTTTAAGCACTTTGGTTCATATTGGGGATTTAAAAATTTTTCTTTTTCTGTAGTAAGTTTGCATTTTGAACATTACTCACCACCTAAAACTGATTATTTTTGGCATAACCGTTAAGGTTAACCCTTCTCTGTATCTCCCCCTACTCTCTGCAAACCTGCCCTCCCTTCCTCTCACTCCCTCCGCTCTCTCTTTCTTGTATCAAAGCTTATAACTATTCAGTCTGAAATGAGAAGCCCTCAATTTTTTCCCCGAGTTTGGATGCCACTCTTTTTTTTAAGTGATACTTTTACCTTTCTGCAGAACCTGATTCAAAAGAATCTGTCTTATGACATTATTTTTTCCATCTTGTTTATGCTGGGGCTAAGCACATTACAGAAGCTTTATTTAATCTGTCTTACTGGTTGTCAGTGGCGTCATGTTAATATGGAAGTTTTGTGTAATTGACATTGATTTCATTACTTATTCTATTTCTTAAGGACATGACCTATATTGTGATCTTAGAATTGTCCTTTTAAGACATAGCCATGGTAATCTAAGTGGATTACTCAAATCCAAAATCCTGGTGGTCGGCAATTTCTTTATAAATGGTTTTATTTTGCACAGTCTTTGTTTATTTCCCTATCCTCCATAAAGTATGGTGGAGACAGATTCTGATGTGGATTTTGCCTAAGGCAGTTACCATTTTAAAGCCAGAGTCATTGAGTATGACACAATACTAAAATCAGTGGTAAAAATTGTATTTAGAATGACAGTTTGTTTCAACCTTAGATGAAACTGAGAATCCTGGTATTAAATATATTATCATTTAGGTAAAAATCAGAATTAAATATAGAACAAAATAATTATCCTTGCATTAGGCTAGGGAAACTTTCTAATCTATCTTTTAACTTTTTTATTGAACTTGCTATCAAAGCAAAATAGATGTAATGCTCCAGATAGTTTCCTTTTGTAAAGTATATCTTTTCCCCAGGTAGTGTTTAATTTATAGTTTAAGTGTGGTAGACCAAACTACAGGCAGTGTATTTGTAATTTTACATTGAACTAAGCTTTCTTAATTAAGTGTATAACTGAATTGTGAAAACTCAGAAATTGCCCTTTTTTATATTTTATATTAATGTTCTTACTTTTTGTTTTTAGCTTACAGAGCTGACTGTTCAGAAGAATTGCATCGTTAGTGTAGCTTTGAGCAAAGGTGACTTAAAATTGTGAGGGTACATTTTCATTGTATGTTTTAACTATCTAATCTTAAAAATGTTAATTTACTTTTAAGAAAGGGGGAATGACCTTGAAAAGATTAGACAGATAGGTTCAAAAGAATTGCAGTGATCTAGGCAATATCTGATTTACTACACTTCCTTTCTTTTATTTTTAGTAAAAATGATCAAATGCGATATCTAACTGTTGAGTCTAAGTAATCTGCATGACAATAGCTAGCTTTGGGAAATGAATGTCCTTTAAATTGCGGAGCAGCTCCAAACGGCAGCAATTAATCCCACTTGGTGTGAGTTGAATTGAACCTAATACCCTAGAAGGTGGGTCTGTCTCACTCCGTAGAGTTACAGTGGATAGATTCACTTTGTTAGCCATTTGATAATTTTAGGGGAGTTTTCAGGCTGAAAATCTGCAGTGTTAAAGCAGGACTGAGATGTACATGGCAGTATTAGCAGCATTTAGAACTGTTGATACCTAATCATCATAATAGGTGAAACCTTCAGAGTGATTCTGTGAATGATGAGTGCTGAGAAACAGTTACAACTAACTGGAAAGCAGTAACATATTTCATCATTGCTGTCAACATGTAAAAACACCATTTAAGCGGGGGTGGGGGGCAGTGAAATTGTACATCTAGGGAATGTTGTTTTTCGTATTATGTTCAGCCATAATAAGCACATTTGCCTGAAGAAATAGTGGATTGTAAAGTGCTACTATCTTTCATGATGGAGCTCTGAAACACTTAATGATTTTGTACATTGCAAAAATGAGAAATTTTTTCTAACAAGGGTTGATAATGATTCAATAATGAACAATTTGCCATAGAAACATGCACTTCTATATTCATTTAGATATTTCGAAGCATTTTACACAGGAAGGAAAGCTATTATGTTGGATCAGTTAGTGTTTCTTTTTAATGAATTCCAGAATTATCCTGTTGATTTGTCAGTATGGAAAAGTGTTTCTTTCTTATGTTTCAAGTGAAATAAGTACATCCTTTTGGCATATCACTAAGTAATTAGCATCAAGCATTTCTGTATTATAGTAAAACTGCAGAGCAGTGAATTGCAGTAGTATCACCAAATTGTCTTATTTACTTCTAGCCTCTTCCAACTTTGGTCCGTTTTTCTACCCTTGGGCCCTTCATTGATTTCAGTAATGTTTGCTTCCCTTTACCTATTGTTGATTAGATGTATTTTTGGTGATGGTAGGACCGTTTTATTAATTGGACATAGAGACAAATTACTTTATAGAATTGCCTCCCTTAGGTTTCCAAGTTATTGTTAACCGCTCTTACCTGTCTATCCCCCATGTCTATTAAAGCTTTATGCACATGTGTTGTCAGTGGTAAACTTAAGATAGTACCCTCTGTTTTTCTTTTTTCTGATACCTTTTGTGTTCCTCTCTGAGGCCTGTTTAGCCTCTAGAGATGTTTGGTTAGTATTTTTATCTCTTAAAAACTGGAAGCAACATATGGTAGTATAGAAAAACTATAGGGCTGAGAGTTAAAAGATCTGGATTGTAATTCAGATCTTGAAAAATAACCTTTATCTTTCACATAAGGTTTTGCTGGATAGTCTAAAAAGTTTCTGTAGCTCTAGAGTTTTATTATTTCTATAACTTATGTAATATCTTTTATTCAACCCTGGAAAAGGCTACAACTAGAATTATAATTGGTTTTGTGCAAATGATAAAACTAAGGTGCAAGAAAATTGTGTTTTTTTTTCCTGAGGACATAGTCAGTTAACGGCAAAACAAAGCCCATGTCCTCTGACTCCCAATCGAGTATTCTTTCCATTAGGCACATTAGGCATATAAAGTATTGGTTCTTTCTATGTAATGCCTTCAGGGTTTTACTAGCTCAGTATTTTCTTAAAGTATGGAGACACAGCTTTTGAGAGGTAATAATGAAGAAAAGTTCCATAGTGACATAACTTTGGGAAGCAATATATCACATGTCCCCTCTTAGAGATTCAGATTGTACTTTGAAATATTAAAGACACGGGAAAACCGGGGTAGCTTATTTATGTTCAGCCCATCATATTCCAGATTCAGATGATGCACAGAAGTCTTTTAAAATAAAAAAGCATCATTACCCTGTGGGGAACTTGTTTTCCATGGAGCACACACTGGGACATACTTGTAGCTTGTATTAGAGGTGGGTGTGCATGCATGCACAGTTGTGTCTGACTCTTTGACCGCATGGACTGTAGCCTGCCAGCCTCCTCTGTCCATGTAATTATCCTGGCAAGAATACTGGAATGGGTTGCCATTTCCGATAATGCAGTAGATGTGGGTTCAATTCCTGGGTCGGGAAGATCCCCTGGAAAAGGAAATGGTAACCCACTCCAGTATTTTTGCCTGGAAAATCCGACAGACACAGGAGCCTAGTGGACTACAGTCCATGGGGTCACAAAGAGTTGGACATGACTGAGCACTACTGCAGTGGGTAGCCATTCCTTTCTCCAGAGGATCTTCCTGACCCAGGGTTGGAACCGAGGTCTCCTGCCTTGCAGGCAGATTCTTCACTGTCTGAGTCACCAGGGAAGCCCTGTTGCAGGTTACCTTGTCCTTAGTGGTTTGGGGATGCTTTATTTCTGTGCATGCATGCACTTTATTTGTAACTACTCTTCTCCAGAAATAATTTCTTTCCATGCCCCTACCCTGCATCCTCACTCTGAAAAGCAGCCTCTTTTCGTAGTTAAAATGACTTGATAGCAATTCTTTCTGAAACCATTCCTGTAACCTGAGATGAGCTAATGGTATCCTTTTTGCCCAGTCTAGGAGAGACCAAACTAGTACCTGACATTGAAAAAGGTTTCAGAGTTTCAAGGGTACGCCTGTGTAGACCTAGACCCCTTTTATCTATGAGTGATTAGTCCTAGAGTGATGTATATAAGAGAAATAAATAATTGCTGAAAAGAGATGCCAAGATTTCAGAAGATAGAGGGGAAAATATTAGGGCTTTATTTTGAAAACAAAAACTTCAATTAGAAAGTAATATTAATAAAGCAAAATGTATATTATCCACTATATTTTAAGTGAGCAAACAATTAATTGTTGAAGTTTTTAGTGTATTTTTTTTTCTTCAGAAAAAATTTATGGTAATACAGAAAATGTCTTTTACTTCACATTTGAACCTTGTTAATATTCTCTTCAATTATTAACTGACTCTTAATTCATTTAGGTCCTAATCCATCAGTGACTTTTGTGTTTATTTAAAGGATTCTTTGGGCTTCCCTTATGGCTCAGCTGGTAAAGAATCCTCCTGCAATGTGGGAGATCTGGGTTCCATCCCTGGGTTGGAAAGATCCCCTGGAGAA